GGGAGTGCTGAAGCTGCGGATACAAGCAGCCCGAAAGCACCTTCCCTACTTCTACAAAGCCCGAGGGGTTTGAAAAAGGGTTTGGGATTTCAGGCGCAGTTTAGGGTTCAGGGTTCAGGGTTCAGGGTTTGAGGCTTTGCCCCTCGGGCATCCTCACAACAGCTGAAGCAGAAGTGGAGTGCTCAAAGAGCATGCCTCAGCTGCCCCTTCGACCATCCCCGGTCCTTAATTAACCCTGAAGCCCCAAACTTCGCATTTCGAACTTAAGGTTTGCGTTTCAGGGTTTAGGGGTTAGGATTTGACGACAAGGCCTTTGAAGCAATTTAACAACTCATGATGCAAGTCGCGACACCCTCCGCGACAAACCGGCCCACGTCACGGTGCGAAGGCTGAATCGCCCAAGCCCTCAACCCTCAACCCTCAACCCTCGGCCCTCAACCCTAAACCCTAAACCCCTCAACCCCAAACCCAAAGCCCTAAAGCCTAAAGCCTAAACCCTAAACCCTAAACCCTAAACCGCTGCTTGCCTTCCCAACTGTGGCGTTCACCGGCCCCCACCGGAGCTCTCCCGTCTGCACGTCGAGGGCCGACCTTCGGGATTGCGGATGGTTTGGGAGGTTTGGGGTTTGGAGTTTGGGGTTTAGGGTTTGGGGTTTGGGGTTTAGGGCTTGGGGTTTGGTGTTTGGGACCCGGGGTTGAGGGTTTGGGGTTGGGGGTTTAGGGTTGGGGTTTGGGGTTTAAGGTGTAGGGTTTCGGGTGCGGAGTTCAAGGCATTGTGCGGCTTCGGATCAACTCTTGAGCCAGGCAAGATATGTGGATTTACGACATTCGGGGTAACTCACTATAAGGGGATCCTATTTTGGGGGTCTATTCTGTTTTTCAGCTGCCATGGGCGCGGACCGTGACGCCAGATTTGTCTAGTCTGGCTTAGAACGCGAGACCGGGTCTATTTTAGGGGCCCCCTATAATTTCGCAAACCCCAAACCCTAAACCCTGAACCCTAAACCCATTTCGGCTGCAAGAAGCCCCAAGCCCCGCCCTGAAGCCGGAGGGCCAGCAGCTATTGGCCCTGCGCTCCGAAACCCCTACTCTCAAAAAGACTCTGCGACTGTTGTTACTGCTGCTGTTCCTGATATATGTGCTGGCATTATTGCAATTGATATCGTTATTGTTGTTCATGTTTGTACACGGAAGAAACACATACACCAAACCCCACAACCCCTCTCTGCCCCCAAACAAGACATCGCGGCAGTCGCCGAAAGACACGGGCCCGTTTTTGGGTACCCCCAGATAGAAGGCTCCGTGGTCGAATCGGAACCTGAACCCTACACCCTCAACCCTCAACCCTAAACCCTAAACCCTAAACCCTAAACCCACCAAGGGACTCCAAAACCCTAAACCCTAAACCCAAAAAAGGGAGCCGCCCGTATGCAGCTGAGGTCCCCAACACCTGCTCCGACCAACCGCCCGAGCCTAGGGTTCAGGATCGGATGCAGTTCTACGGTTTAGGGTTTAGGGTTTAGGGTTTAGGGTTTAAGGTTTAGGGTTTAGGGTTTAGGGTTTAGGGTTTAGGGTTTAGGGTTTAGGGTTTAGGGTTTAGGGTTTAGGATTTAGGGTTTAGGGTTTAGGGCTGGGGGTTGGTTAGCAAGAATCATGCATTTGGGGTACTATCATCTCGGTGACCGCCCATAGGACACCCGATCCCGAGCTGTGATTAGGCGACCTTCCTGCATAACTGTCGCTGTTAGCCGGCTTCCTGGCGCAACCTACTTTCGTACCTGTATAGTCTCCTGTCGGCGCAACCTACTTTCGTACCTGTCCAGTCTCCTGTCACACGCGACACCAGTACTCTGCACATTTAACCCTCGGTTCATAGTAGGAACTTGCTTTCGATGAGTGCTGATAGTAACCATGATTATATGAATACGCATCAGCCATCGTCATGATCATAGTCGTCATCACCATCATGATCATGCAAGCCCTAAACCCTAAACCCTAAACCCTAAACTCTGATGATGAAGCACCTGGGCCAGCATGCTTTCATGCGTCTTTTCTTTCCTGATACAACATGCTAGTACAAGGGCTTTTACCTCACGATTACTAAGTGTATGAGTGCACGCATGAAAGTCGAAAGGAAAGCATGAACTTCAATGCGGGCACGAAATGAGCGCAATAAGGGCCTTATTACAAAACTGATTATTGGGCCCTTTGCACCCTTCATTCTCCCATCCTGGCTGTTACGTTCACGACTCAACAGATTAACTCCTGGAGACAGAGGTTGGTTTCGTTCTTGTGCTCATTGCGCTCATTCATTCGCAGGCTCATTCATTCTCTTATTCACACATTCACTACGCTTTATCATGAGAACGAATGGAATGAACGCTATAAAGGTGCCAGTATGAAAATTATGGGGGGGCCCTTTTAAAACCCCAATATGCTGTACGCGATTAAGAATACTCATGCGCAAGCTTATAATATTACTTTTCAACGCTCACTCATGCAGAACCCTAAACCGTAAACCCTAAACCCCAAACCCCTAAACCCTAAACTAGTGAGGGCGACTGTGCTCCGGGCACAAGACCAGTCCCTCGTCCTCGGCGACGTCAAGTCCCCACACCTGCGGGGGAGGTTGACTCACTTACCCAAGTCCCCACAATGTCCCTACTAGGGTTTCAGGTTAGGGTTTAGGGTTTAGGGTTTAAGGTTTAGGGTTCAGGGTTGAGGGTTTAGGGTTCAGGGTTCAGGGTTCAGGGTTCAGAGTTCAGGGCTCAGGGCTCAGGGTTCAGGGCTCAGGGGGTGCTCTAGAGTTAAAAGGGCTTTTGGGGCGTCGAGCCCGTCTGGCTCAGGATCTGGCTCCCCGGATCCCTCCACTCTCCCCCCAAGAAGATGGGTTTAGGGTTTAGGGTTTAGGGTTTAGTGTTTAGGGTATAGGGCGTAGGTTTAGGATTTAGGGCGTTAGGTTTAAGGTACACGAAAATTACCACGAAGCATCCTTCGATTCTTTTCGGGCCACATTCCTACGCAAGGAAGTGGCAACCCTAAGGGTTTGGGGTACAAAAATTGCCACCCGCAAATGTCAACCCAGAATCCAAAGCTTGCAGTGGCCTCATCCACCATGGAATCCGACCGGAACTTGACTTCTCCTGGCTTGGGCAGAAAACCCTCGACCCTCAAGCCTAAACCCTAAAACTTTGCGTTTCGGATCCACGGTTGAAGAATGGTGTGAGTTTGCACGCAGCGCGGGATCCGAGTACGCAGGGTGCAGGGTTTAGGGTTTAGGGTTTAGGGTTTAGGGTTTAGGGTTTAGGATTTAGGGTTTAGGGTTTAGGGTTTAGGGTTTAGGGTTTAGGGTTTAGGGTTTAGGCCCACGAACAGCATGCGAAGACGCCGCAAGCGAGAAACTGAAATCTTCCTAAGCCTCACACACGCACAAACGCTGCCAAACCCCAAACCCAAAACCCCAAACCCAAAACCGAACTAAATCAAAAGACACAAACCAAACACCAAGAACCCCAATTAAACCCTAAGCCCCAAACTATTCTCAACCAAGAACCCTCAACGCCAAACCACAAACCCCAAACCACAGCACAACCCCAAATCCCTAAACCCTAAACCCTAAACCCTAAACTGGCTTGCGTCAAGCCCTCCACGCCCTGAGATGCACACGAGCCTGTTGCAGGGTCAAGAGCCACGACCTCCAGGGTTTAGGGTTTAGGTTTTAGGGTTTGATGTTCAGTTGGGGCTTAGGACTTGGGGCGGTGAACTTGTGAATGTTTGTGTAGATTTGCGTGTCAACTGAGTGGCAAGCCGGACCCCCGAACTTCTCAAGTCTGGGGTTTAGGGTTTAGGGTTTAGGGTTTAGGGTTTAGGGTTTAGGGTTTAGGGTTTAGGGTTTAGGGTTTAGGGTTTAGGGTTTAGGGTTTAGGGTTTAGGGTTTAGGGTTTAGGGTTTAGGGTTTAGGGTTTAGGGTTTGGCGGGTTTTAGGGTGGTTCGGGTGTTTTTCGGGCACACGGTCTCTGGTTGGGCCTTTGAGATCTCACGTCTCCAAGCCCCTAGACCGGGCGGGTCGGCTTAAGGCGGTTAATGATGCCCGATTTGAGGATTTGGGTTTAGCATTAGGGTTTAGGGTCTAGGGTTTCGGGTTTACGGTTGAGGGTTGAGGGTTTAGGGTTTAGGGTTTAGGGTTTAGGGTTTAGGGTTTAGGGTTTAGGGTTTAGGGTTTAGGGTTTAGGGTTAGGGTTTAGGGTTTAGGGTTTAGGGTTTAGGGCTTAAGGCTTAGGGTTTAGGGTTTAGGGTTTAGGGTTTAGGGTTTAGGGTTTAGGGTTTAGGGTTTAGGGTTTAAGGTTTAGGGTTCAGGGTTCAGGGTTTAGGGTTCAGGTTCGAGGCTTCAGGGACATGAGACTTTAAGATGTTTAGACGCAGCCATGGTCTAGGATGTAGGTTCAAGGGTTAGGGTTAAGAATCTCTAAACCTAAAATCCTAACCAAACCTGAGCAAAGTGAGCCGTTGCTGCAGCTCTGTGCACACTCAGTCCTCGCGGGCCGGCACTTTCGCAGCGCCAAGATGCCGGTCTGGTGTTCTACGCAAATGGCCACAGTGCGCTGCTGCATTCCGGCTTAGGGTTTTGGGGTTTGGGTTCAGGAAGTTTTGGAAATTTAGGAAATATAGGAAATTTAGGAAATTTATATAGGAAATTTAGGAAATTTAGGAAATCTAGGGTTTAGGGTTGACTTGGGTGTGCCAAAGCTTCGCAGCGTCGAAGCAACGTGGCCCTGAACTGTATCAGAACCAGTTGACACCGTAGGCCCTTCCTGGCAGTTCATGCTATTGCTAATCTAGGTTGTCCAGTAACCTAGGATGAAAAAGGGTGCCCTTTTTTGCTTAAAGGGGTTTAGAAGGGAACCTAAAACTACCAAAAAGGGAATAAGGGTACTACTGGGCATCCTAGTAATCGACTAGACGAATTCTTCGGCGATGGCATCTCTTCGAGATTTCCTGCCTCACATGCAGCCGATCCGGCACGATCTGCTGTCACATCCGACGGACTTGGCGAAGCCGATGAAGAGCTGGCTGGCCTCGAATAAGGCCCTGAAACCTCACCCTAAACCCTAAACATCCCTAAACCCTAAACCCTAAACCCGAAACCCCCTAAACCCCCAAACCCCCGCAAACCCCTAAACCCCAAAAGCTTGGCCCTGCAGCGTGCGCTGCTTGATCCCTAAATCCTGTGGTAGCCCCACGATGTGCACCTTGAAACCTGGCATCCTACGGGCATTTCCCAAAAAATAGGGGGTCCCCTAAATCTACCCCAAAGTAGCAGAATCCTTCTTATAGGAACCCCCAAAAAGGGTAATTACCCCTATTTTCGGAAAGGCGCATAACTTTATGAAGACCTCCCTCGCAAACAGGGCCTACCTACTTTGGCACAACGCCCAAGTGCTGCTCAGGGAGCCGTGCTGCGCAACCACGCGTTGAGCTCCTCTGCCGCCAACCTGCGAAGACAAGGTCCCAGGCTTCAGGGCTGAGAGGGTTTAGGGTTTAGGGTTTAGGGTTTAAGGTTTAGGGTTTAGGGTTTAGGGTTCAGAGCTGCCTGATTTCTACCTTCGCCAGAACAACCTCAAGTGCCCTCTTGAGATGAGTTTGAGGGGTAACGCCCTGCCTGGCTCCTCCTTGCGAGGGCGTCGTCTGCACAGGCATGGCTGGCTGGGACGGCTCACCAAAGAAGTAGTCCCAGACCTTAGATGGATGAGCCGTTTCATTAAGTTTTCAGGCTGGGGCGGGGAATCGGCCCGGGTTGGTTTGATGCACCTAGGGGTTTAGGGTTGAGGCCCTCAACTCCCCAATTCCCTACGCGAGCAGACCGGAACTCCGGGGCAAGAGGCCGCGTTTTGGGCTTCCACCCACTCATCCATGGCCAGCCTTCCACAAGGTTTGAGGTTTGGGGTTGGCTTGATATTCAGGCAGCTGGGCTTGACTTGCATTGAGGGCTTGGGGCTGTTAACTGAGAAAACCCAAAGTGCCGCAGGCCTTCCACGCACTTTCTGTGGCCTGCAGGAGACAATTAAAATAGATATCTACTAATTGCTTAAGAACCCCCCAAAAAATATATTCTTGTGGCCGGCTTGTGTGTTCATGGTGGTGTTTGTTTGGTGTTTCCCTCTGTTTGCTGTGAAGTGTTTGTTCTTTCCTGGGCTTAGGACCTAGGGCCATCCTTTAGGGTTTGGGTTTGGGCTCAGGGTTTTTTAGGCTTTACGGCTGAGGGTTCAGGTGCTACGTTATTGTCTAGGGTTAGCGTTTAAGGCATAAGGTTCGGCGTCGGGTTTAGGGTCCAGGGTTTAGAGTGCATTTGGGATTTTTTATAGGGTTGAGGGTTTAGGGTTTTGGGGTGTAGGGCTTTGGGTTTAAGGTTTAGGGTTTGCAGTTGCAAGAGCGGTCTTTCGCAGTTTTTCGAGGATCCCCTGTGCAAGATTGCCTTTGCAGGCTGGGTGCCGTGTTTGTTTGTCCGATTTTTTGCACTGGTTTGGGATGTCCCCCCTTATACTAAAAGTCCTGAATAGGGATCCTGATACCGCCTACTATAATCCCTACTAAGGACTGTGAGTGTAAGGGGGAACGTCCCCAAGTTTTGGTGCTTGTCCACTTTCTTGTTCTCGGTCTTTCTGACTGCAAGGAGAGGGAAAGTGACAGGAAAAACAATCAAATGGAAGCAAAACAACGAAATATCCCCAAACCTGAAACCAAAACCCGGATTTCCAAAAGCCTTGAGCGCTAAAACCCTAAACCCTAAGGCCCGAAGGCCGAAACCCTAAACCCTAAACCCAGAAGCGCAAAACCCGAAGTCCTACCCACACCTGGCTCCGCCCTGTGATGGCGTCGCCCTCGGCACGTGGGATGCTTCGCGCCCAGCTTCGCCTGCACATGCGCAGCACGGGAAGCGGAGGCTCAGCAAGAACAAACTCAGCCCTGAGTCCCTAAGCCCTAAGCAACCTTAAGCAACCCTAAGCAACCCTAAGCAACCCTAAGCAACCCTAAGCAACCCTAAACCCTAAGCAACCTTAAGCAACCTTAAGCAACCTTCAGCAACCTTAAGCAACCCTAAACCCTGAACCCTAAGCCCGAAACCCGAAACCCGAAACCCTAAGTGTCCAGCCTGCCACGTTCTCGCGAGCTTTGGCGTAGACGCGCACCCTCAGCTGGTCTTGGCGGCTGGTTCGGGGTTTGGGGCGTCGGATTTAGGGTTCGAAAGCTTAGGGGGTCTAGGGGTTTAGGGTTTTCAAACCCTAACCCTAAACCCTACACCCTAACCCTAAACCCTAAACCCTAAACCCCACCTAGCACCGAATAAATGAGAGGTGTGCAAGAAGCCGCCCAGTCGCAGGCATGCCTTGGCCAGGCACTCTGCATCCTCCTCCTTTGTGCTGCCACAGCCTGCTCAGATGACTCCCCGCAATCAAGCTCAGCCCTAAACCCTAAACCCTAAACCCTAGGCCCTAGGCCCTAAACCCTAAACCCTCAACCCTAAACCCTGAACCCTGAACCCTAAACCCTGAACCCTGAACCCTGAACCCTAAACCCTAAACCTCAAGCCCTAAACCCTCAACCCTGAACCCTAAACCCTACCTAAACCCTGACCCTAAACCCTAAACCCCCGAAATGCGGTGAACTCTCCAACTACCAGGCCGCCCCCGCATCCGCACCTTCGACGTGGCGAGCAGTGCCGAGGCGAACGGTTGGCAAGTCCGTCGCCATCCTCGGGGTCGTTCGTTCTCCCCCGCCCTCCATGAAGTTAGGGTTCAGGGTTTAGGGTTTAGGGTTTAGGGTTTAGGGTTTAGGGTTTAGGGTTTAGGGTTTAGGGTTTAGGGTTTAGGGTTTAGGGTTTAGGGTTTAGGGTTTAGGGTTTAGGGTTTAGGGTTTAGGGTTTAGGGCTTACACATAACTACATTAATTTTACATAATATACCTGCGCGCATACAGGCCCCCTAATCATCATAGTTGAATCATAATACATTTTCAATACTATTAGTTCAACAACAACAGAAAAGCGATCGGAAAAATCGAAAGAACATACATCCCAAAGCACAGCCCGGCGTCTTGCTGACTTTGGGATCGTCAGGCCCAACACGCTTTGAGCCGAAACTGATAAATCTCAGATCTTTGAGGTCTCTCAGAGTGGGTTCTCGGCTTTTGGGGGTTGCTTTTTTGAGTTTAGGGTTGAGCGTTTTTTTGCACTAGGGTGCAGCTTCTTTGCAGGTTAGGGTTTGGATTGCGCTGTCTCATTCAAGGGGCGAGGGGCTTTTGAAACCCGGACACAGCCAGCATCTATGACTCGATGCACCACTTCTACCATCAATGAATCAATCCTGTGGGTCACTTTGGGGCGCACCATGAACACTGGCGTGGCGGCTGGGTGCCCTTCTAAACCCCAAACCCTAAACCCTAAACCCGAAATCCGAAATCCTAAACCCTAAACCCCAAGACGGGGCGGCACTCAGGCCGCGGCCATTCCGTTCTCCCCGCTGCAGTAGGCCGTCCCTGGCGCGTGGTAGGCGCCCCTAACAAAGCCCGAAGCTTGGAGCTTAGGGTTTGGGGTGTAGGGTTTAGGGTTTAGGGTTTAGGGTTGAGGGTTTAGGGTTGAGGGTTGAGGGTTGAGGGTTTAGGGTTTAGGGTTTAGGGTTTAGGGTTTAGGGTTTAGGGTTTAGGGTTTAGGGTTTAGGGTTTAGGGTTTAGGGTTTAGGGTTTAGGGTTTAGGGTTTAGGGTTTAGGGTTGGGATGTTCCCACTTAGACTAACACTCCTTAATAGGGACTATACTCGGTGGTACTATAATCCCTACTAAGGACAGTTAGGAAAAGGGGAAGCATCCCAACCCGACCCTTTCAAGAGCAATTGGGCCTACTTGGAAGTCCGTTTCACCTCGTATGTCGGGTTAGTTTAAGGTGGGTTATTTGTGGATTATACTGGGGTTTCTAGGATATAGTAAGTAGACTTACTAAGTCAAGAGAGCTTCTCAGCTGTTCAATCCTAGGGACCAAACAAGTGCTCATGATTCTCACCAACCCCTATTTGGGGCATGTGCGGTTGAATCCTAAACCCTAAACCCTAAACCCTGAACCCTGAACCCTGAACCCCAACTCTCGCGCAGTCTGCAGCAGCGAGCGCGCGGGGGACCTCCATCTCGCAAGGCAGCCGAAACGATCTGCATGGGAGCTGCGGGTCCATCGGAACGGGCGTAGGGAGAGGGTTTAGGGTTTAGGGTTTAGGGTTCGGGCTTAGGGTTTAGGGTTTAGGGTTTAGGGTTTAGGGTTTAGGGTTTAGGGTTTGGGGTTTGGGTTTAGGGTTTGGGGCTTGGGGTTTTGGATTTGGGGTTTTGGATTTTGGGGTTTGGGGTTTGGGGTTCGGGGTTAGGGTTCAGCATGTAGGGTTACCAGCAAGCTTGCAACGCTCAGGAGGGTCAGTGTAGTAGCACAGGTCCTAGACGGCAGTTACTTCAGAGTGTATCACTTGCAGTGACAACGTCAACTCACACTAAAAGCCCTAACCCTAAATCCCTAAAACCCTAAAACCCTACAGCCCTAAAACCCTAAAACCCTAAACCCTAAACCTTAAATTTAAACCTGAACCGCCCCCCGTCGCCGGGTCAAAAAGCCGAAACTTCCAGCGCCCAGCCCGAAACCCTAAACCCTAAACCCTAAACCCCAAACGATTTTAGGGCTCCGGCGTATCTCCCAACGCCGGGATCCAAGGCGAACAGCTTCTCGCCCGACCTGGGGCTTTAGGGTTTAGGGCTTTAGGGCTTTAGGGCTTTAGGGTTTAGGGTTTAGGGTTTAGGGTTGAGGAATGAGGGTTGAGGGTCGAGGGTCGAGGGTCTAGGGTTTAGGGTTGAGGGTTGAGGGTCGAGGGTTGAGGGTTCAGGGTTGAGGGTTTAGGGTTGAGGGTTTAGGGTTTAGGGTTTAGGGCTTAGGGTTTAGGGTTTAGGGTTTAGGGTTTAGGGTTGAGGCTTTAGGGTTTAGGGTTTAGGGTTGAGGGTTGAGGGTTGAGGGTTGAGGGTTGAGGGTTTAGGGCTTAGGGTTGAGGGTTTAGGGTTTAGGGGTTTAGGGTTTAGGGTTTAGGGTTTAGGTTTAGGGTTTAGGGTTTAGGGTTTAGGCCGAAACCCTTCCTTCCAAAAACCCAGGAAGTTGACATGGTCAGTCATCCGGCTCGCCATCTTGGAAAGCCCAAGCAAGCGCTAGCCAACCATCAAAGGTTGCTTAGGATTTAGGGTTTAGGCTTTAGAGTTCAGGGAAAAGGGTTCAGGGTTCAGGGTTGAGAGTCCTCAAGCCTACACAGGCTGTCAAGGGCTTGAGGGTTGAGGTTTAGGGACCCCAAACCCGAAACCCTAAACCCTAAACCCTAAACCGTGCAGGTTGTCGCAGGGTTTAGGGCTCAGGTTGGGATCTTAGGGACCCTGTACACCCCCTAAACGCGAAATGGCCTAAGGCTTGGGGTTCAGGGTTCAGGTTCAGGTTCTAGGGACCCTTTAAACCCCGTAACCCTAAACCCTAAACCCTAAACCCTAAACCCTAAACCCTAAACCCTAAAGGGTTTCAGGGTTTAGGGTTCAGGAGTTTTGGGATCCCATCCTAAGGCTCCCCACAGCGCGTCGAAGCCTGCCAAAGTTGCACAAGCACGTCCCGAGGCTTCTGCGCCAAATTTGAGCCCTAAGCTCAGGGTTTAGGGTTTGGGGTTTAGGGTTTAGGGTTTAGGGTTTCGGGTTTGGGGTTTGGGGTTTAGGGTTTAGGGTCTAGGTTTTCGGGTTCAAGGGCCTACTACTATTTGCTTAAGAACGACTCCCCCAAGAAACAGTTAAAGCAAGACTCTTCCTTATAAGGGGCGACATGGGGATTCTTCTCTGGACTCTTCCTTATAAGGGGCGACATGGGGATTTTTCTATGCTCTATTTTGTGGCAGGGGCGTGCAAAGATTGCGGGCGCTTCGGAGCGTTTCCTGTAAGGCTTGGGAGTTGGGTTCTGGGTTGGGGTTGAAGGTTTAAGGGGTTTATGGGTCTAGGGGTTTAGTGGTTTAGTGGTTTAGTGGTTTAGGGGCTTAGGGTTTGGGTGTTGGCAGAAAGGGGAGTTTTGGGGTTTTGGGGCTCCCGGCGATTCAGGCCATCATAAGCTCTGCATGCCCCCGAAACGGCAAGCAGTCATGCGAGGGGACCAGAAGTAGGGGCTCTTGGAACCGATGATAACCTCCTTAAGGCACGTCTAGGGTTTGGGGTTTAGGGTTTAGGGTTTAGGGTTTAGGGTTTAGGGTTTAGGGTTTAGGGTTTAGGGTTTAGGGTTTAGGGTTTAGGGTTTAGCGTCTAGGGTTTAGGGGCTAGGGTCTAGGGTCTAGGGTCTAGGGTTTGTGGTTTGGGGTCTAGGGTTTAGGTGCCCTTTGGCCCTTGGGCGCCTGCGACTTGCGCCTGATGCTCCGGCCTAGCAGGCAGAGAAGTTTTTGGAGCTCACAACCCTAAACCCTAAACCCTAGACCCCAAACCCTAAACCCTAAACCCTAAACCCTAGACCCTAAATCCTAAACCCTAAACCCCCAACCAAAAACACAATGGCTCCACAGCCACGACTGACTGGCCTTTGGGTTGGTTGGGGTTTGGGGGTTGAGGGTTGCGATGCTTAGGATGTTGGGGTTTGGGGTTCTGAGGGCCCCTTGTGTAAGTTAAGGCAACCCCGACTTCTGGGGTTTTTTGGGCCCCTCAACCCTCAACCCTAACCCTGAACCCTAAACCCCTAAACCCTAAACCCTGAACCCTAAACCCTAAACCCTAAACCCTAAACCCTCAACCCTAACCCTGAACCCTAAACCCTAAACCCTAAACCCTAAACCCTAAACCCTGAACCCTTGGACTCAAGCTCAGGATTTCAGGGCTTTAGCCAACTACCCCAAACATCCTGAAAAGCCTGGCTTTGCAGGTTCAAGGCGCGCCGTATGCGATGGAAGAGCGATTTCAAAATTGTGGGCTTTGGGCAAGTTTAGGGTTTAGGGTTATGCATGCATACATACATCATACTACGTACTACATACTGCATACTTGTGGACATGCTGCATACAGCATGCTACATATGTACATACGTACATGCTACCTCTTCGGCCCATGTACAGCTGGGGTAAAGTACACGGAGCATGAGGCGGAGGCTTAACATAGCTCCGAATCGGCGGTGTGTGGCACCTCATGCACCCTTACGGCATACGGCTTAGGCACCACTTCCGGCCCAACCCCGCTTTCTTTTCCGGCCGAAACCTAGGGGTTGGGCCAGGGATGAGATGGTGCCCGTCATATTCGAGCCCCAGAAGTTGTTGAGAGGGGTCCGTAGTTTGAAGCACCGACTATAGCAAGGGCGCAGGTGCTGGGCTGATCCAACCTCTGGGCCCGTATTTCTGTTGTCATAGAGTACTTGGAGGTTCATGGCACTTATTAACCAGTTATAACTGTACTTAGAACCCACTTATAAGCACCTTAAGTGCCCGAATATGGTTATCAGTACAGTTATAGGTACAGTTATAATTGGTAAATAAGTACCATGAACCTCCAAGTATGGTCGCAAGGTCTGCCCCCATGCAGCAAAATGCCGAGTGCAGGAAAGATGTTGCAATCTTCAGAGGGAAGCCTGCGGCGTAGGGAATGGTCATATTCCTGCACTTTAGGGTTTAGGGTTGAGGGTTTGGGGTTTAGGGTTTAGTGTTTAGGGTTTAGGGTTTAGGGTTTAGTGTTTA